GGATAACGCCATCTTTATAAAAATAATCGTCGTAGTTAAGCATTGTTTACAAAAATTACAAAAGAGGGTTTCATCAACCTCTACTACACTTATGAAGGAACGTCATTAACCACTTCCTTGCCGTGACCTGAAAAATGTCAAAGGAAGGGGTGAACACGGAGGCTCAGTAGAAGATGTCTAAGGGACTAACTTTTGACTCCCTTGAGCCACACATCCCACGTATGGAATAAAGGAAAACTAGGATCATACTTTGGAGTTTTCATAACATTTAATTCACAAAACAAACTCAACAATAGTATTTAAGCATTTCAACACAAGTATGCATAGAATGAAATGCAATGCCCTATATTTCCTAACCTTGGTCTCAACCGACCCTAACTTGGCCTCTACCGACCCTAAACTTGGTCTCTACCAACCCCAAACTCACATTTTGAAAACTGCTAACCGACGTTACCAAGGTGAGATTGATTACTATCCCTGGTCCCAAATTCGGTAACCATTTGGGGCCTAGTAACAACTTTTTCACATCCTATACCGGACCGAACTCCCTTTAGGTCAAGTTATCACCGGACTAGCGAAATCAGGTTTACTTTATATAAAATCCATCCCAAACCCTTTCTTAATCAAATTTTCCAACCGTGCTATGCATGCAACTCAGTTCCAACAATTTGACCTCAACCTCATCCCTATGCAACTATGGCATGAATGTAACATTTTCTATTCAAAACCATTCATGGCATTTCCATCAATGTGATCGTAAGAATAGCATTTTCATTTAAATCAAGCACAACATGGCATTTTATTGCAACCAATCACAAGCATGCTCATCATAGAATTTCATATCACCACAAATCATACTAGAATTTATAGTTTAAGCAACTTTGCACCAAAGTTATGTAATACACATACTTGGCATGAAATCAAACACATTTTTGTCCACATATTAGCATGCTTCCCCACTTTAACATATTACTATCATGTCAATTTATACTTTAGCATTCAAGAATGAAGTTAATAGAAGCTCATAGTATGAATACTTGATAAGTGCTTAAATGATGCACATTTCAGCACCTAAGCTAGGGTATTTCAGTCTTTGCATCTATCTTAATTTCATGTTTTAGTCCTAATTTATGTTTATGTGTATTTCAGGGCAATAAAGTTAAAATGTGCTAAGAACGGTCCATTAAAGCCTTTTTGGAGTCAAGCAAATATATTCAGAAAAAGTTCAGAAAATGACAAAAAAGAGGTCGTAGCCCATTGCTCGTATAGTGTGTTTATTCTTCGAAAGCGGTCAATCTCGGGCCTTTGATGATGTTCCCAAAGATGAAGAAACAAACCAATTAGCCCGAGGCCAAAATGGAGCTAAATAAGGCTTAAAGGAAATTTCCAACTCTGGGGGGATCGATCCCCCAGGGTGGGGGATCTATCCCCCAGGACTTAGCAACATTACATATTTTTTTTTTTTTTTTTTTTTTTTTGTTTGGGTTTATTTTGTGAACTATTGGGCTTTAATAGAGTTGTTACTTAAGGCCCAGTGAGCTATTAGATTAGGGTTAGTTTTTATTTTATTTAGGTGAATATTATTAGAGATTTTTTTTTAAGTTATTTTTATTTATTTTCTGTACCGATATATCACATTCTCTCTGGGGAAAAAGAAAAAGCGAGGGTTTGAAGAACATTTTTACAGAGGCTTTGTCTACAATTGAAGGAAGAAGAAGAAGGAGCCAAGAGATGGAGATGGAGCTTGTTGACACCATGTTCATCTTCTCCATGAGCTAGTTCTTCACTTAGGGCTTGGATGAGCCCTAAGTTCATGTAACCCTAACCTTTGTATTTCTTTTCTTGGGGAATTATTATGTTGAAATTAAATTGTATGGCCTTGTAATTTCTTTATATATACATGCTTAATTTGATAAATTAGGGTTTGTATTGATGAATTCTTCCATTGAAATCTCTAATTGATTGTATGTCTATGTATGATTAATTAGGGATTTTATTCTTCATTAGATGATTAGAACTTAATTCTTTCATTAATTCTATATGTAATTTGCATGTCTATGTGTGATTGCTTTAGGATTATATTCTACATTAAATACTTCTTGTAGTTGTGTTTAGTGATGGCCATAGCATGAGACTTAGTTGATACAATTGTCAATTAATTTGATGGATAAAGGCTTAATCTTGATGGGTTGTTCTACAAATTAGCTTATTGTCATTAGGTAATTGTAGTAAAGTAGGCAATTTGTGCTTGATTATGTTAATCCATACTTCTGATTAAAATTAGTATTATCCTCTTGATTGATGTGTGCTCTTATCGGATACATTTGTGAATATGTATGGTAGGTTATGACGTAGTCTTGAATGGGTTCTACACTTTAGTTTAATTGTCATTAGGTAGACAATTCATTCTTGATGTTGATAATCTATGCTTACAATTGTGATTTGTGATGATAATGTGACCACATCTATAATTACACTAATGAATTCCCTATTAATTGAAAGCATATGGTTAATTGCATAGGCTTAGTGGTGAATCCTAACCCTAAGACTCTCTTCATATCTCTTTAATTCTTAGTTTAATTTAATTTAATTTACTTGCATTGTCATTTCTATTTCCATGCTTTCAATTAAATTCTAGTTTAATCACTTCACAAAAAAATCTTTTTCTCTCTCTATCTCTCTCTCTCTCTCTCTTGTGCAATCTCATTAACACTAAAATCAAGTTTAATCCCAACAGGTGTTCAATCCCTTGGGTTCGATCCCTTCTCACTTCATACTCCATAGTATAAGTGTTTAGTGGTTTTATAAATTATAAAATATGATGCCCACTTGACATTAATTCTAAACCTAAAGTGTTGTGCATTATTGTGTGCACACGCTCGGGTCGCATCAATACTCAACAAAAGGCAAAGCTTGAAGCATTAGAAATCCCTATCTCAAGGATGACAACCAAACAAGCCCTTATGCAAGCCCTAACCTCGAAATTCCTTAAGCCCTAGCATCAATGGTCTCAAAATGAAGCTCTTGACAAGTGGAACAAAACTCTCTCCTTGCTCATCATCAAAGTCTAACCTTAAACCTCTCAAATTTGAAGATGAAACATATAGCCATGTGTGTGTATGGATATAGAGAGAGAAAGAAGAAAATCTTAGAGAGAGAGAACGCTAGCCAAAGTGGGGAAAGAAAGGGGTGGGTTAGCCAAGTTCAAATGGTGTATATGGCCCTCCATTTGCCAAGTGTCCAACTTTGGTAGGTTACAAGTTATGCCCAAGTTACCCTTTTGCCCATGCCCTTTCCATGCAATGCCAAACCTATTCCCAAAATATCTGCTCTAATATATAGATACGCATATATGTATATGCATAAGAAAGGTCCATAATGGCCTTAAAATAAAATGGTAAAACCGGGAAGAGTTTCTGAGCCCGAAATTCGTCCCTACTTCCAAAAAATTCTAAAAATGATTCCGTCACTTTTAAATGACTTAAAACAAATAAAAATATATTTCTAAAACCCTCGGCTTGAAAAAATGACCAAAACGGCCCTTGGGGCCCATGTGGCCTTCAAAACAAGGCACTAAAAATAAATAAATAAAAATTTGAAAAAATTCAGAAAAATCCGGGACATTATAGTTATTGAACTTGAACCGGATTGACTTGTACGTTTAGCCAATTTTGATTTTGAAGTAGGATTTGACACTAAGTATTTGTTTATAAGAAATAATGTTGCGTGTTCGAACTCAGATTGAATATAATTTATCGATCTTAAACTCAAATCGTTTCTCAAAAGAGTTTGATGCATGCCAAAATTGATAAAAAGAAAAAGGTAAATTACATTGATCTCCTCTATGATTTGACATAATTACACTAATCTCTCATATGATTTAGGAAATTATTCGAATTTTTCATAAAAATAAAACTAACCTACACGACCTCCCTTCTGTGAAAGTCATCGCCATTCAATAGGCCATGCGCCTTTCTCTATATGATATTAAAACCACTATGCGAAATTCGTATTTTTCTTCAATTTGCTTGTATGTTTGCGTGTGATTTTGAAATCTTATCCGGGTTCCTTTTTTTCCCTCCAAAACTTTGGTAGGCAATTTGGTTCTTGTGATAATTCATGCTCTCTGTAAGAGGGATGTATCTAGAGCCAAAGAGAAGCACCTCAACTACTAGCGAGAGATGTATATAGAGCCAAAGAGGAGGCGAGGAGCTCACCTCAACTACTAGCAATGCGAATATCGGCCACGGGACGTCATTTTTCTATTTGGGTCGTAGGCCTAGTTTGTTAAGAAGATAAATAGGTTTTGTGATTGTGTTTAAAGGAATGATTTATATGAATATTCAAAACTTTTGGCTGTGTAATTCAAGGCAGGTTTTAATTTATTGATGTTGTAATGTCAGGATCTAATAAGATGTGCCAATGTTGGACATTAGTACCAAATTAAAGCAATCCAGTAACTGCGAATTTAGGCAAGAATATGATTGTCAAATAAGATCACTGATTTGAATCAGTACTTTAGATTTGAAATTGAAAAGAAATTAGTATAAACTTTGAAGTAAATTTTCGCCAATCCTATGCTGTACCTTTCAATAAATCAAACTATTATTGATATATCGATAAATCAAACTATAAAATTGCAATAATACTCTGGATACACTATTATGTATCGTGTCATACTCGTACATACCTTCCTGATTTACTGTATTTTACAATACAAGGAAATCTATTTGTTCCAACTACCAATCAAGTTCTTATATTTACCATAAGAGAGGGTTAATACTTTCTTGTACCAAGATATGATCCAAAATATTATCGAAGAAGAAGATACCATGTGTAGTGTTGTGCAGTAAATGCATGGCTGGCATTTTTAAATAATAAGATGATCTACAAAGTCATATAAACAAAAATATAAATAAAACAAATCTAATCTCATAGCATAGCATAGCATACCATTCACATTCACATCCACAATCACATTCACATTCAAAAGAAAGGAATAAGAAAATTGAGAACAGCTTATATAAAAAGTGAACAGCTTACCCTTTCTCTAAGAATTAGTAAAACCTAGGTAAGAAATATAGAGAGAGAGAGGCTGCAATGAATAGTTAAGTTGTGAGGCCGCCTTCTCAACATAGAAAAAAATGTTTTTTAACACTGTATCCGCAAGTAACAACTGCTCAATGTTATCTATCTTTCGCTTAACAGCTCAGTAACAGGGCAATTCTGCTTCGGTTTTACACACCCATTCAATTTCTTCTTACTCAATTATCCCGATACCTTTGTTCTCCACATCAATGTCTCCCATCCCCGTATCTTCCTCCTCTTCGCTTCCATCATCTCCGCCAACCTCCTCATTTTCACGGCCTAGCTTCGCCAAGTGTTCAGAAAGTAGTTTATCCTCCCGTTCGCTCACCTAAACAAATTCGTATTAGATACACATTTGAGATAGCTAATTGCTATTCCAACTGACGAATTGAATTAACGAAGGAATCTTCGGAGTAAGTTTCTCAAGTAATTAACAGAAAAGAATTCGCAGAAAAGATCGTTATGTTTAGGGGGGCAAAACAAAAATAATAAAAAAAAGGCAAAATTATGTCTGAAGTCCGATAAAAGAGAAATGAAGCTCACTGTTCTAGGTGCCTCCTTCACGGCAAGTTTCCCCTTGTGTTCCTCTATTGCTTCAGTGCAAGCTTCAATTGCCTTGTTAAGAATTAATATCCCTTGTTCCTGCCCAATCAAATCAAAAAAATTCATTCGAATTTTCCAAAGTCCTCTTCGCAGTTCCATATAAACCAAGGAGATCAACAAATGAGAAGATAGTGATCCCCTCAGTGCAAAGCGAGAAAAATTACAGCAAAAGCACTTCAAAAGAGATTGTATAACTAAACATAATGATGACATAAAGAAATGAGTGGATAGAACTGATTCTGAATAGTAAACTCAAGTTTAGGCTGATTATTCCACTGTCTCTTTCCAGTAATTAACGTTATAGCAGTGACTTATAGATTGTGTGACAATACACGAGGAAACAAAATGACATGATAGCTGTGCGGGGAGACACCATCACACAAAAACTACAGTGATCTCAATAATTATAAGTAATAGCGTAGCAGCACTCAATGCAGGTTAGTTGTGTAGCTTCAGTACAAATACTGGCATAGATAAAAGAAAAATCGGGCTTATGCTCGTGCTTCCTAACAAAAATTTGAGTGGCATCTCAAAATTCCAGCATTTTAATGAGGAATTAATGCCCAGTAGAACAAAAATAAACACAAGAGATAAATATAAAGATATATAAGAAAGAGACAAAGCAATCAAAACGTCTCAAAAAACATAAGCCGAAACTATTCAAATTAACAAATGAACCAATGAGAGAATTAAAACCCTACATAGATTTTAAAATCTTAGAAACAATACATTCCAACCTTCAAACAAACTAATCTCAACTGTTAATAAACTTAAGAGTAAAGTGCAATTAACCCCCCTGAACTACCATATTTACAGAAAACCACTTAAACTATTTCGTTTTTTGCACAAAAAAACCCCAGACGACACTGTGCCTTTTGGTTTTGACAGGAAACTCGTCACATGTATTTTAATATGGCAATTTTACCCTTATTACCATTACAATATTGAATCAATAAAACCCCCAAATTCAGAGACTCACCACTCCCATATTCTCTGCATCTTTGTCCGATGTTAACCTAATGAGCGGCCATTCTCTCGGCCATTCTCTCTGGGCCATAGAAAATTGAACTAAAAACAAAATCAGCCACAATAAACAGGTCTTAGCTTCCATTCTCCATCTCCATTAGCTTCATTCTCTACTTTACCACACACTCTCTCTCTACACACACACACGTGTGTGTGTGTGTGTGTGTGTGTGTGTTTACATGCGTGGAACTCCCATCTTTTTATCAATAACAACCATTTTAATAGCCAAAATTCCTTAGGAAATTAGCCAAACTCTGAGAAATTTAGGCAACAACTCCCATAGAAAAATCCTAGCCCCTATCTCTGCTACTCCGGCCCCAACATTCAACTTTCAATTTCATTAAAAATAATATGTCAAAACCTTAATGCAATAATTTCATCTAAGATGGAAATTGAAACCCTATTGCAATAATTTCATCTAAGATGGAAATCAAAACCCTAACTTCTCTATTCCAATACAAACTCCATGAAAGAAACAATCAAATCTAGCACCCAAAAAAGAAGTAAAATCAATGAATGAATCAGCCATTACAACAAAAGAGAAAAATTGGAGAACTTGAATTTGGAGAAGAGTCAAGTGGTTGCGGATTAGGAGGAACATAACAGAATCTTCATCATCTTCGTCTTTCTAGTTAGCCTCTTCGCCGTTGCTTCATCACAGCAGTGTAGTCAAGTGACCTGGGTGTTCCCCCTCCAATATCATATTCCATATTAGACACAGAACAATTGATTTAAAGATGAATAAATATCTCTCCATCTGCAATTATTAATAAAACGTGGTACTGAAACCACTCTGCTCTACAATAGTCATGGCCTTTTAAATGATGGGAACAAATGATGTTGGATGATGGAGGTGGTGGCTGCCGACTGGGGAGAAAGTAAAATAAAAAGAAAAAGAAAAGAAAGAGAGAGGCGGCAGCTGCCATGGATGATGGAGGTGGTTGTAGGGTTTAGAGGGAGAGCGAATGGGTTTACAGAGTAGTTACTTGTTAGGGTACTAAAATAAGGTTGTGTTTGGCGCAATAATTCGGTGAGGTTCTGATAGGGTGATGTGTTGGCGCAATTCTATTGGCCGTTGAGATTGCACTTGACACATCAGCAATTGTAGTAACTAAAACAATGAAACCAGGTCATTTTATTAATGGGTAATTTGGTAATCCAACTTTTCCGGTGACCTCTGGTGAGTGTGATTTTTAATTTTGTCCTTAAATTGCATTTTAGAATAGTTCAGGGGGGCCGCTACTTAGTTTAGGGGGGTTTATTGCACTTACCCTAAACTTAACTGTAAGAAGCCTAAAGAAACAGAAATAACGTGCTATAATAATATAACCCCCTGCAACAGCAACACACATTGCTACAATGACTTATTATTTCTCACCTTTACATATAAAAACTATGACAATAATGGGAGAGAAAATCTTGGGCCGCCGCTTCCCCCCCCCCCCCCCCCCCCCCCCCAGCGCAGCGGCGGTGGAGAGTATCTTCTCTAACAAAGCTACAGCTACAGCATCAAGTTGTCACGATGTTCTTTGAATCATAGTGATACTTAGAGCTGTACCATCAACTAGTTTTTTAGGCCGGCTCATGGTTCAACCATTTAAGCAAACTGGCTGGCACACCCCATTCTCAGGCAATAAATATGTTAAAACTTAAAACAAAAATTACAAATCTGATGTTGGCCCATTGATTAAGCTTTAATTTTATTTGAATGGTTAAGGGTTTAACTCCCTCCATTCTTATGATTGAAGGGGCCTATTTATATATTCCGTAGAGAGATACTTCAACTTTGTGAACCTGATCAGTGGACTCGCTGAAATGCTAGTTCACCATTCTCCTGGCCAGTTCAGTTATAATAACAATATGCTAAAATACACTTAATAAAAAATACTCTGAAAAGAAAAGATAGTTCTCACATTGAAAATAAGACGCGACATAAATTGTAGATATAGGGAAAGTCATGAGTTTCAGAAAAAACTTGATCTTAAAACTTTGTTGCATTTTTATTTGTAAATCTATAGATTGGCAGGAAGGAGAATCTTCTTTCTATTATGATAATAAGATTTCAAATGAGAGAGGCAAGCTGGAAATAGTATTTTTAAACCTAGGCTGCAAATCACCATCGGATTGGTCGAAACTTGGCCAAGTTAGTCCAAGACTCTGCCGTATCAGCAAAGTCAACAATAATTATTATTTTGACCGAGATCTGACTCAGATTTGTTCTGACCAAGTCTAAGTTGACTTGATTAAATCGGGCCAAGTTAGTCCCAGACGAGTTTTCAAACAATTTTTAATTCAAATAATGTCACAATTAATCAAAGAATACTTTATGAAGGATGCAGTTACCTTATCAAGAGTTTGAGTATTAAGAACATATAGTGGAGGAGCGACCAGTTTAATTTTCACCGGGCACTGCAAATTGCCAACAGCTTCAGCCTTTCGCATGGCTTCCTACAATGGCATAGATGTAGTCAAGTAAAAATCATGTAAAGAACTTGCAACCAACAATACCTTCTTCAATATTGTAAAATCATCATTGTTTAAAGAGATAAGATGATAATAGAAAAGATATAGAGTCAAAGGACGACAAAAAGTAGACCTTAATGTGAAGAACGCCATCGAACTGGAAACATTTCATCTCAATATCAGCCCGAATCTTCAATGGCTGTGGGGTCATTCTTCTCCTAATGTCTTTTACTAATGCATCTTTAACATCCTCTGACATAGCAGGAACCACCCTAGTAACCTACAGAATGAGGGGATGGAAAGTGACCTTCATACCGATGGGAATAAGGTAGCCTAAAGACTAATAAAAAATAAAAAATAAAAAATGTGGCCCAAAGACTTTATTTAAACAAAGATTACCTCTTCACCATCAGGACCAGTTTCTTTAATTACACGGGTGAGAGTATTAATAATCGAATCAGGATCACTAACAATTAACTTGAATGCCTGCGTCCAAAAAGAAAAATCCAGTATAATTCTACAAGTTCCAGTACAAGAAAAATGCTAATTTGAAAGTTGCACACTATCTCACCTCAAAAGCATGACCATATTTTCGATACAGAGGCCAGCCAACATGGATATACAGATCCTGACAAGGATAACTTTATGTTAGAAGTAACCCATATGCAGAATAAAAAACCAACAAATTAACTATTAGCAGTGAACTTATTTGTCAAGTATAGTAGCATACAATACTCATATGAATTTGGCAACACTACATTTTCAAAATTATGTGGAACAACAAAATAAAACGCCCAAAGGAAAATAAATAAAAGAATGGTCACACGCCAGCCAACAGCCAAATTGAAAAGGAAATCTGTCAGGACATCTAAGCTCAACCTAAATAGCAGCCAATCTAACTAGCATATTCAAATGACAAAATTAGCAAGAAATCAGCTAAATCCAAGCATATAGAGCAAATCTAGTAACAGACGAAGTATACACCAGCCACATGGAGCTGAAGTAAATTGACAAAAATACACGGAACCCGAAACAGGAGAGTGAATGAGAAAGGATGCTAGAGTTGGTCCCAATAGTGGATTATCTCGCCTTCTGTGATGAGAGAACATTGACAAGAGAGAATGACTAGCGGCGAATGAAGGCAAAAGGTATGTATGGGGGTGGTGGGATTAATTTTGCTTATAGCAAAACAAAAAATAAAGAGATGCAGACTGGCCTTGGTGCTCGAGATAGAAGACGAAGTGGCACACACGCGATGGGGGCGTGGACATGGAAGGCAGATAGGGGGGCATGTGGTGGTGTCTCCCTCTTGGCTAGACCGAATTAGTAAGAAGCATAATGGGCCAAGCTCGACAAACCCAAAGATAAAGAGAAATGAAGTGGACCAAGAGAAACGGGCCAATCATGCTAGGCCCAAACTTGGGTTGGGCCAAACTCAAAACAACAAATCGCTAGGGCAAAGATAAAATTGTAGTTGGGTCGGAAAAACAAAAAATGGCTACCTGAACAAGACCCAAGAGTATTAGGTACGAGGCCCAAGCAACAAATTTGACCTAAACAGGTTAGAAATTTAAGCCTAAAGCCAAATCATCCTTCAGCTTATTTTCTGGGGATGCAGAAATCCCAGTGGGGTGGAACTGACAATGTCAGGTGTTCTCAGGAAGGAAGGGGCTAAGAGCAGTGCCCATTTCGCATGAAGTTGGGCTCAGTGAAAGCTACAGAGAGGGAGGTGAGGTAAGGGGTCTGGTGGGAAAAGACCAGAACAGAGAACCTAGTTATGGGTAGACTGTTGCGGTGCAAGAAAATGGGGAGGTGGGGCCAACTCTGTGGGGAGAAAAAGGATCCAGATAAGGCTGGTGAAAGGGTGTGCTGATAGTTTGCTGGCAGAACTCAGTGTGTGTGTGGAGGTTTGGGGGAGTTGAGAAAGCAAATAGATGATGACAGTGTTGTGGTAGAAAGGTGTGAATCGGACGACAGGTATAGTACACCCACTAAGTGGAGGATGGAGGACTTAAATTGCAATGCTACCTGGGTAGACTTGGGTTGCTGATCACATGAATGAAAATCAAACTCTCGTGATGAGGGAAGACCAATAAAAGTTCTGAAGTGGGTTTGACTAAGCCCTTGGCTGTATGGGTTTTGATGCGAAGGGGAAAAATGATGGTTCAGTACAGGGTAGATGAAGATGAGAACTGGGGGTGATGGACAATATAGGTGAGGTGAGCAAGAACTTAGGTTTGTCCTATGACAATATGAAAAGCAAGCTAGAGCTATCTCATGCAAATAATAGTGAATCGAAGACGGTAAGGAGGGAAAAGAAGGCATCTTAGAGGGGAGAAAGGGAACTCCGCAACTTGATCTCCTATATGAACTATGATGTTACGAGTGGTGGGGGGGTAACGCTGTTGTGTGTTTATGATGCTCCAAATAGGTTTCCCTTTTGAACACTTCTTTTATACAATCTTTACTTATCAAAATAAATAAATGAAGCCCCGAATAGGGTCATGAAATGTTTGGGGCCTCAATGACCCGGACAAGAGAGAGGTGGTGAAGTCATTTTGAAAGACGGGTGCCCAAGTCATTTGTTTACAAGAATTCAATTGGCTTCTTGTTCTAAGGAGATTGTAAGGAGTGTTAGGGGTAGGCAGTTTGTGGAGTAGAAGACCCTTGATGCTATGGGTTCGGCCCGTTTTTTGTTGATGTGGGATAGAAGATGGATTTCGAAGGTGGATGCTTAGAAGGGGAGGTTTTCTATCTCCTATCTATTTTCATTAGAGGAAGATGGTTCACATTGGGTGTTTTCAGGGGTGTATGGCCTAGTAAAGGATGCGGAGAGGAGACTTCTATGAGAGTTGTTGGAGCTCACGAGAATAGTCTGGAATCTCCCCTGGTATGTGGGGGTTGATTTCAATGTGTTTAGATACCCCACGAGAGATCTATGAGAAGGAGGAGGACATCTGCTATGAAGGAGTTCTTGTAATTTATGGACACGCAACAGTTAATTGATCTTTGCATGGAATGTGCAGCTTTACTTGGTCTAGTAGAAGACAAATTCCTACCCTATCTCAGTTAGATAATTATTGTCCATAAGAGAATGGAAAGAAAAGTTTTCAGATGAGGACATCTGCAACGAAGGAGTTCTTGTAATTTATGGACACGCAACAGTTAATTGATCTTTGCATGGAAGGTGCAGCTTTACTTGGTCTAGTAGAAGACAAATTCCTACCCTATCTCAGTTAGATAATTATTGTCCATAAGAGAATGGAAAGAAAAGTTTTCAGATGTAGCTCAGACAGCTATGGCTAGACCAATATCAGATCATTATGTTGAGGTTTGAGAATATGTGACTCCGAGCGAAATGCTTCCAGGATAGGGTAAAAGATTAGTGGGGCAGATATGAAGTGAGGGATAGTCCAAGCTTCTTCATTCTAGCCAACAAATTGCGCATGGTGAAGGTAGATTTCAAGAAGTAGTATAAGTGTTTGGTAATTTGGAGTGGCATAGCAATAGACTCCGGCTGAAATCTCAAGAGTCAGATCAACATGAAGGACGTCAGGGGCTGGATGATGTGGAGAGCAAAAAGCAATAGAAGGGAGGCATATAAGGCGGAAATCCACGTGATTGACCATTATGGAGGAGATTTATTGTTTACAAAAGTCCAGGACTTTGTGACTTAAGAAGGGGTAAGAAATACATAGTGGCTACCCATTATGGGTAGAAAAACAAAATTCCTCCATCGGCTGGCGAACGCTGATCAAAGGGGGGGACAAAGGGTCCTGCTTCTAGTTTCAAGTGAAATGATATTCTATTTCTATCAACTAGTAAACGCTGATCGAAGGGGAGATTTCGTACAAAATCCTCCCCAATGCTGTTGTCTGCCCAATAAAGATAAATAATAGAATATGATATCTCCTGTAGCTGTAAAGGGCTCTGCTTCTAGTTTCAAGTGAAAGGTCAGCTAAACAGGTTCCTCGTTAAGATAAAACCACGCATTATCAAATGCTGGAGAGAGTACGAACTGAGAGTGAATGCCTAAATTTCTACCCACCCAACCTCAAGTAGCCCAATACTCAGATTGGCACATTAGTAGCCCTCAAAACCAATGAATGACAGTGGTAGGCTTCTATAAAATCACATAGTGACAGTGGCTTTTTCAAGTACTTTTAACAAAGTATTTTTTTCTTCAGCGAAAAATTAGTAATTATATGTGAATATATAACACTAATATAAACAAGTTATCTAATTACTTCTGAAAATTTGTTGTGGTGGAATTAGTTATTCAAAAACGAAGTGCTAATCTAGACAGAAGTTGAGTTATTGATGTGCTATAGCACTTTCTTTAAAAATCTTCAAACAAAAACCACAATTTACTAGATTCAACTTGTGATTTTTTATGTTTCTTCTTATAAGGAAGAAAACTACCAAAGGAAGTACAATGCCCAATGCTGGTCTCGCCTTCACAAGAAAACCCCTGGAGTCAAACAAATCCTTTGGCCATTACTCACTCTTTGTCCATAGAACTTATCCAAAAGTATATTAAATGTGCTCTTCCAGAAGAATTATGATTCTCATGAGTACACATACTTGATGTGCAAATACATACATATATATATTTGCTTAATCATAAAGCATACTTCCATAAACAGAGAGACAGGCACAATAAAATAAGAAAAAGAAAAAAAGTACCTCGAGATCGATCGTCATAGTCTCAGCGACGTGTCGCATGATGGAGTGAACAAGCTTGCTCTTATTGTACCTGTCCTCACAGACCTGAATGTCCTCCTCGGAGACTCTCCTCTTGCTGAGATTGACGTAGCCTTTGTCTTCGTCGACGTGAAGGACCATGACGGGCTCGATGCGGCCGACCTTGATGAGGCTGTTGATGCTGCGAATCCGACGGCGAGAGAGCTCGGAGAGGAGGATCATACCCTCGATGTTGTTGTACTCCAGCAGCGAAACGTAGGCGCACATGTCGCCGATGCTCTTCACCTGAATCATCACCGCCATGTCCACATCTGGGAACTTCGCTTCGTACATTCGACACTCCAGATTAGGTGTGTTCGTCGCCATGGTTGTTGCTTGGATGAGACTGCGAGTCTAGGGTTTTTTTTTTTTTTTCCTTTTTCTCTAGGAACAGATGAGTAGAAGAGAGTAGAGCTAGAGAGAGAGAGTTGGAGAGAGAGAGAGCGAGGGTTTTTGTTTCTGATAAATATGCTACCGATTAGAGTCTCAAATTACCTCCCTTTTGGTAAGAAATATATACGTGTACAACTCATAATAGGTAAATCATATTCGCATGAAAAATAAAATATAAAACTTACCATTTATGAAATATTTATTAATAAAACTTACCATAAATATTTATTTTAAGGAATGAAATTTACCATAAATATTGTAAGTTTATAAAACTTTTTCATAAGGTCAATTTTTAGGTGGTTATAGAAAGTAATTTTTCTTCAAAATTTTCTTTTTCTTACTAACCAAATTTTTAAAGTTTAAAAAAAAATTCATTTCAATTATTTTCTTATTATTTCAATCCCTTATTTGGAAAATTAGATTGACTTTTTTCTTTCTTATAAGTTTCTAGCCAAATATTTTCACTTTGCAACTTCTATCATTTTCTAAATTTCTATTACATGTTGATATCTTGCCATGCTTTATTACTTTTAAATAAATAAATAAAATAAATTGGTTTTACAAGGATAAATTTGATATAATAAAATTTTAAAGTTATGTTGTCAACCACTTTTTTGTAAATCTAAACCGAAAAAAAAAAAATACTAAATAAATAATTAAATGATTAAATTACAATTTGCTGAAATTACACCTCCCTCTATTTTTTGAGAAGTGAAATTCACACTTTATTTTTAGGATAAATTGCATTGACATTCCCTGATGTTTCGATAAATGCCACTCATCGGACGGTCAATGCACTTTTTAACAATGACACCCCATGAGGTTTCAAATGTCTTAAATGCCCCTGAATATTTAATTCAATTTTATTTAGAAAATATCAGCATGTTAAATGACAAAAATAGCCCTCTACCTTTAGTTGGCTAACCCACACATGCAAACACTCATTCCCATTTCTCTTTTCTTCTGGCGCCAAACAAACCATGACCCTTTAACTGCTTCAGTCCCTCTACCTCTACAAAACCCTAATTGTTGCAAATTCGCATCTCCACATGTTTTCTCTCTCTAATTCTAACCCTAAAACTATCTACAAATTACAAACCCTAACATATTCTGTCAGTGTAAGTTTTCATAACAAAGCCTAATTATTTTGTACTCCTTCCTTTGGTTGTTTTTATGGTCCAAGAACAAACACTAAGGTGTTGTTGTTTGATAAAACTAAAAATTAAGTACTGAAAATTGTAAGTACTGAATTTTAAGCACTGAAATTTTAAGTGTTGCATGTATTCATCTGAAAAAACCTGTTTGATATTATCTTATTTTTAAGCGCTGAATTCATTAAGATTGTTTGTTAATGTAAAAGCTAAAATTTGAATGTTGTACATATTATATTTTTGCCCTCAATTATCTTTTACACATAATATCGTTATACAAGATACTATATATATATATATATATATATATATATATATATATATATATATATTATAATATAATATAAACTGTAATGACCCGATCATTTTCCTTCCTTTCCTTTTCTCAGATTTCACAGATATATATATATTTTCTGAGTTCGGTTTCTCGTCACTTAGTGTCGTCTTGAGTGCTCGTGAATGGTTTCCGACACTCTTTCTTTTGGATTGACAACTTTCTTTAAGAACCGCGTCATTTCTACATTTTCACTTTTTGGACACTATTCACTTTTCGTCATTTTCCCCGTTTGTCACTTTGTTGGCATAGCATTACTTTTGTGTTCGAAGTTGATTTTCGACTTCACGTACCTTCATTCTAAGTGGTTTCCACGAAATACGTATCTTTACTTTTATAAAAAAAGTACTCTGGTTACTCCCGATGTCCATAGGGGCATGGATGCATAGTTCTTCAGAAACATCTTCTTTTTTTGAGGTGCTTTTTATAAATATCTTTTAAAGATATTTTATTTTAGGGGTTTTTAAGAAAATATTTTTGGAAGATATTTTCATTCTGGGTCATTAGTGCAGTTATCACTTTTTGGATGGGCATTGTGCAATTAATGAAAGTTATTGCAAAAATGCCTCGTTTTAAGTCTGGATCCTCGTACGGGATTTATTTTCACTTTTCGTCGAGTCGTGTACTCTTAGAATTTCCTTCTAATCGTTTTTTCCCAGTTTCAGGGTTTCTGGCTCCGGTTGCCGCCGAACTTGTTTGGGGCATATCTTTTTTGCTCGGGACTCGATTTTTGACGTCGTTTCTTCCATTGTTCTGTAATGACTCGGTCATTTGACTCCCTTTCCTTTTTCCTGAAATTTTACGGATAAATTTTTTCCGTTTAATTTTCTTTTCTGAGCTCTATTTCTCATCTCATAGTGTCGTCTCGAGTGCTCGAAAATGGTTTCTGAAACTCTTTCGTTCGGATTGACAACTCCTTTGAGGACTGAGTCATTTCCACATTTTTCGTTTTTAACACTATGCACTATTTTGTCCTTTTCCCTATTCTGTCTTATCCCCGTTTGTCAATTTTTGGCATAACCTCACTTTTCGTGCTCGGAGTTAGATTTTGACTTCACATATCTTGATCTTGAGTGGTTTCCACGAAATACGTATCTTTACTTTTTCAAGAAAGTACTCTGGTTGCTCCCGGTGTCCATAGGGGCATGGATGCACAATTCTTTGGAATTCTTTTCTTTTCTTGGAGTGTTTTTCATAAATATCTTTTGAAGATATTTTATTTTAGGGGTATCTAAGAAAATATCTTTTGGAAGATATTTTCATTCTGGGGCAGTTTTGCAGTTAACCCTTTTTGTAGGGGTTATTGTGCAATTAACGAAAGTTATTACAAAATACCTTGTCTGGTGCTTGGATCCTCGTACGGGATTCATTTTCACATTTCTTCAAGTCGTGTACTCTTGGAATTTCCTCCTGGTCGATGTTTTTCAGTTTCAGGATTTCTAGCCCCAATTTGCGCCAAACTTGTTTTGGGCATAACTTTCTGCTCGGGACTCGGTTTTTGACTTCGTTTCTTCCGTTATTCATATTTTATCATTTTGAATCTTTTTCGTTCACAGAGTTTTGCCATTTGAGCGCGTCTGCTCAAATTTCACTTTTTCAGACCCAGCGGGGCCCGTTTGGGGTACTTTTTGAGATTTCTATAAAAGGGGGGTGAGATATTTTATTTTTTCATCTTCCCCACTCTCTTGCACGACCTGAAGCTTCCATGGCAGCCTAAGGGAGGCTGCCACCTTCTCTCTCCTCTTTTGAGCTTCATTCCTTTGTCAGAATATAGTAGGGCCTTTGCGTTTTGTGTTCGTGTTGATGTCGCGCACCTTTCACCCTTATTAGAACCCGTTTCTGACCAGATTTCGAGTTCAGGTTTGAGGTCAAGTTGTGGAGTTTTTCATAGGTCCTCTTTGGAGTTTATCGTGCACGGCGTAGTCCCCGACAAAACCCTCCGGTATCGTTGGATTCGGAGCCGTTTTATTTTGGTGGGCTTTTGAGATTTCATCTCAAATTGAGGTAGGGGGTGTTATAATTTATTTTTCTTGTTATATAGCATGCTTGTGATACTTATACAATTTGTTTGCATGATTAAATATAAAATCTAGAGATTTTATTATTTATTTTTCTTGTACGGGATCTGATTTTTCAGGTTGCTCATGACTTGGTTTAAACATGTAGCATGATATTATATTACCCCTTGATATGCTCATTGTCGTGTATAAAACTTAGGATATTTGAATAAGTATTAAATGTTTTATTTAATATTTATCTTAAGTGGAAGATTAATTCACATGGCCTTAACTAGCTTGAAATCAATATGTGTTAACATATTATATTAGGCCCTAGCATGCTCTTCAACATAGATTATTTTGAGAGTATTCGGACGTACTTTGAAATCTAGTAATATTTAATTAATTTGATTAATTAATTTATTCCGAGTGTACTATTCACTCCATTGGAATTCCGACTTGATATTCTTGATATGCATATCATGTAGTTCCACATATATTTAATCTAGAATATTTGATTAGGTTTTGAAACCTTTCATTTATTATTTTTCTAGTATTAAGGTTTAATACTCATGGCCGTGCATTGCATGAAATGTACTTGTATCATGTTCTTAAATCAAGTCTTGGCATGTTGTATAACATATATTAATTTGAAATCATTTAAATAAATTTCAAAACATAGAGATTTTAATTAAATGAAGTAATTAAAATCCATTTCATGGTTCATTGGTCTTGATTCAGTTTCTAACCTTGTATTCATGATTTTCTAGACAAGTTCATTCACGTGTATCAAATCGAGAATAATTGGATAAGTTTTGAAACTTATATTTAATTAATTCCTTTGTATGGAACTTAATTCATATGGTTGTATCTTGCTTAGAATGAACTTGTAACTTGACATTGGACCTGCCTTGTGTAATGATTTGCACACTTCGCATTAAACATCCTTCATGCACAGCGTGTAACGAATCGTACACTGAAGATTTAACATTCATCATATTATATTAATGCGAACTTAGGGCATGACTTGTATGTTTCAAAATCTTAGTTGTGCATGAGACGTGGTTAATGTGTTTCTAGTATTTGATATTATCTTGACTTGCACAACATGTTGATTTTGGAACTTGGGATATCAATCAAGAAATGACATGGCTAGGACTTGGTTCTAGTACGGGAGATAGAGAGCTCCCTATTATCAGTGCGCATTGGGGGAAAGGTACCCTTGGGTTAGTAGCCCTAAAGTGATCTCAATTGAACGGTTATCTTATAATGCGCAGTAGGGGAAAGGTACCAATGGGTTAGTAGCCCTAAATTGATCTCAAGAGTACGGTTTTAATCTAGGCGATATCCAAGTTTTCACATTGGTTGATTTCACTCTTTAAATTTCAAGTTGTTATTCCTTGAAGATTTAAATCTTGTCGTATTATGTGAAATGCCCTAATCTTGTCATTTGCATAGATATTATGCCTCATTCGTGATTTCAAGTATACTTCATGTCATGTTAATTGGTATAGTCCAATCATATAAATTGCATTGATAATGTAATTCTTGTTAACTTATAGCCAAATATACTTACCATCGTATTATATG